TAAATCTTATTTTATTTGGTCAAATTTTCATAAAGAAAATATCATTGCAATATATTACCACTATACTATGAAGAATGCATTTATTTGTGAAGATACAAAAACAATCACTAAAGCGATCATTACATTCTGCAATATCACAGTGTTAATTTTGAAGCAAACTGTTATATTGAAAATTGTAATAATCCAAAATGTGTGTTTTAAAATTTTGAGTTATTGCATTATGTGTCAACCTCGACACAAAATATAATAACACAAAATTAATATAATAATCCAGAAAATAATATAACATGTTGCGTTATTACATTTTGCGTGAAGGCAAAATGTAATATTGCAAAGTATAATAAATCTGCAAACTAAAATAATTTTAGTTTCTCATAGTTTTGTTGTAACAGTTTGCATTCTTCCACAGCTGTTATAGTGGCTATGGTGTAGTTTGTATCATGAAAACATAAGTAACCGTCATTTCTATGGGTTGCTCTGGATACGTACAAGTAAAATCCTAGAAACCGATTTGTATATGGATAAATGGGACATGCAATAAGAATATTTCTAAATGTATGAATTTTGTGGAGACTGACTAGACAGATTTCACTTTTTATTGAGAAAGAAACCTATTTATCCAAGGATATTTAAACTTAAGAAGGAACAAAAATGTGTTTTTAATTTTTCCCAATGTTTGGAAAACCAAGTACAACTTTATTTGATCTATTAAATAATGTAATAACATAGTACGTATGAGAAAAACCTTTTATCAATGGGTTTATTTTTTTTCTCTTTAGTAAACTCAATTTTTGTAAGAAAATATCATTGATATTGTTTTGAAGCTTAAATCAAAAAAGAAATACAGAGGATATTAAACACCTTGAAATTCGATTTTAACCCCAAAAAATGCGATAAAAAGATTCCCCCTGTCCTAAGTTAAACAAAATTAATAATTACATATTAAGTACGTTTGTTGATTTGCGATAAGTGCATCTTTCTTTTCGGAATCCTTCTGAAACGCACGTTGTTTCACCTCAAGTGCCAGATGGACCACTTTCGTACTATCAAAGAGGTGTTTTTGAGAGGTCAAGATTAAAGTTTAAAATATGTGCTTCAAATAGTTGTTGTTTTACATGTAAATAATATATCTTTCTAAAATTGACAGAAACAATGAATTTTAGAGTAAATTATTTGCGCAAATAGTGAATTGTAGTAAAAGAACATACAGCGCATGGACAACATTAACTCTTTTTTTTTTTAGTTTTCTGATAATGCATCGACATAACTACAAGACAAATTCAGTTCACATTCTATATGAACACGATATTGAGGGTAAAAAACCTTATTGTTGATATAGACTAAGAGTTGAAATGGCATGTCGTTCAGATTTTGTCATAATTTTCCTCTTAATTAAAAATCTTAAATTACAATTCGTGTCATTTCTTTTAAACTTTTAATCCTGATTGCAAGCATTAGATAAAAAAATATCCTTCTTATTCAACATTAATCAGCGCTAAAATTAACAATTAGATAAAAAGAAATGATATTATGAAGTCAGGTCCATACAGTTTACATAAAAACAGGCAGTTACTTGCGTCTTAATCAGGCATGCAAAATCCTGCATTTTATTTCAGCACAAATATTTAATAAAAAGGGCATTTTATCACATCCCCACTTAATATTATCCGTCCTGTAGTAAATTGTTATAGTTCTACGATGTATGTTCAGAATAGATTTCAGGTTAACCCAACTGGTGACAGTGCGAAGATTGTTACGGATATGACACAATGTCCTCCTTTAGCTGAGAGATCCGTCTTCAGTCCATCCACGCCATTACTGGCATGGAATCTGTTGTCAACTAAGATATATTGGTTACTTTGCCATAACGAATTATTTAAGGCAATGTTTTCTGAAATTTAAACAAAATATATCAAAATAATTGAAACAATCATATTTCATTGTTAGTGGTATGTATTTAGAAAATTGATAATGCAATAGAAAATTTGTCAAATTTCTAAATTACATATGCAATTGGAACGAAAATCATCGTTTGGAATGTCAAAATGAAAGCGATGATCTGTACCATAGTTTTGTTACACTAAGCAATGAGAGGTTTATAAATATTCTATAATATCAGATTACATCTGTAGGTTAAGGACGCAATTAAAAAAGGAGCCATTCATTCAATGAGTTTTTAATTTTATTCAAAAATATAACATATTTTCCTTAATGAAATTCCAATTAACTGTAGCTCTTTATGAATTACTTATTGGTTTTCGCTTGCTACTTCATTGTCGAGGCTATAGTATGAATTGAAGCACAATATAAATCATATTCCATTCAAAAATATTTATTTCTTCATATAGAGAAACAATTCTTTCTGTAATATCTACCGCACGTCTGATAAAGGAGCAGAGTTAGAAAAATTAGTGATAGTTCTTTATAACGTAAATGGATCACGTTTTTAATGGGACCAGGATTATGATATCTAATCTTTATTTTTTATTTTTCAAAAAATCCCTGCTTGTATTTCAGTCTTTGAAATCGATAATATTTTAGCAGGGAGAAAGAGTTGACTTCTAAAAGTACTTCACATATAGAGGTGAAAGTTGGTCTACAAAACCAATTACTCAATATATGTTGAATAAAAAGATTACTTCATATTTAGTGATATGGTAAGTTCTGGTTCACATTTACAGCGCAAGTTTAAATAATCCACTGTATATACTCAACAAGAGTGGAGATGCTGTCAATTTCAAACGAACGACGTTCTATAAGAATGCAGCAGAAACAAGGGTATGGATTCAAAAGGAAAAAGTACTCAGATACCCCCAACTTGTCCCAAATGTATATTGGATCCATGTGTCTTATATAATCAATTATTCTAGATGTTTCTAGATCCTCTTCCTAATCAGAAGAATGGAAAACCTCAAAAATGATTCTTCTCACATAATCAAATATCCGATTTGTCTGAGAGAAAAAAAATAAATGTTTCTAAATTAATTTACCTGTATTTTTTTTTTTTTTAATGTCAGAACAAATATATTTTTCGTTCAAAATATCTAATTCGTCTGATATCGATGCATGTGTAATTTGTTCAAACAGATATCTTATTCGTTTAAACAAGGACTAATTATTGATCTTTACTTTTGTAATTAACCTCCCCATCATAATCATTACTTAACAACTTCAATACCTAGTTGCTGATCATTGGTTAAAAAAACATCCTGCAGACATTAAAAATCTACAATACAAATTCGTAGCACTTGTTACCTACAAAACAATGCCAATTGAAAAGATAATTACTATGATATCCTTGTATACACTTAAAGTAGTCGACATACTAATCTAATTACGCACTTCCCAAGCCTTTTCTTCCTTAATTGATTCCCATTAGTCCAGTGAATGAACGCTGATTTTTCATACAAGTGCCCACTTTACATTTAAGTCAATAATTTTACTTAATAGCAACATTGTCCAAAATGTAGGCTTTTCTAACGGCAATAAAAGTTATCATTTGCTGTCTTCTTTTCTCTAATATTTTCTGTCATAAATCTTTCTTTAATATTTGAACATTTTAGTACTACTATTTTAGTAGTATTTCCTTATGAAACTGGACAGCCAAGATATACCGTATATTGGGTTCTGCAACAGTGGGTTTATTTGGCATATTAAAAAAATCCCCAAAAAGAAAGCACCAGCTTTTCCATAAAGTTTACACAGAATTGTTATACAAAGAATGAAAATGAGAATCCTCCAAAACAAAAGGTGCCAATATTTAGATCAATATCTCCAAATATTCTCGACGCCAAAATTACCCTATATACCTTACTTCTTTTGAAAGTTGAAAAAAAAATCGACTTATTTGTCAATAGCTTGCCTAGTTTTAGAAATCGTTCGTAGGCTTAGAGCACGCTCTTGCGTATCGAATCAACTGGGAGACATAAACTCCATATGCAGGTAATAATGGTATATTGCTACATAGAGAAGGAAAGTTGACGATAGAAAAGATGAAGTCATCATGTTAATCATGCAGTTTTGTTGTTAGTTTACCATTAACGTCTTTTTAAGTAAAATATCCAAATATTAAGCAGATGTGTCAGACTTTGTGGTATCTTTTATTTCAAGTTCAAAGAGATATATCGAATCAAATAGGAATGTAAATGAATATTGATAAGCGCCGTAGATATATCTAAATATTTTATTGAAGGCCACAGCAACAGACTTCTTTTCATATAGAAGTTTTTTAATAAAATCTCTCACATAAATAGGGCTAATAGATGGAAGATGTATCTAATCTCTTTCACTAAATTACAAAACAATTTTACATATCTGAATCACTTATAAAAATGTTGATTTTGGGGTCAAAATTGACCTCTACATGTTCCATACATAGTTCATTTGCTTTCACATTATGTATTACTTCCCCGAGCCGATCTCTAGTTTCCATCGTTATTTTCCATCATTTACCTTTCTTTCATATTGAATACTTTTATATTCTTTTTCTTTTAAACACGATTTTAGATTCCTCTTTATAATTGCAAAACTAAAAATCCATACCAATTGTTAAATAATGTTCAAGTGTTACATATCTTTTCCATCCTTTCAGTGTAGCCATATCTTCCACATTACATGTACCACTTGACCATACACATAAGGAAATGCCAAATCAAATATGCAAAGTTCAATTAATTTGTTATTTCTTTAATTCTATATAGATTAGAATAAGATAGAATAATTAACAAAAAGAGCGCTATTACATTCAGTCACAAGATAAAGTGATACACTATACAAGTTAAAATATACACTGTAATGTAATACACATGATCATGCATCGAAGTATTCAGAAATGTTTTTGTATGCCTGCGCATCTCGATTTTTTTCTCTTCTTAACACATTCAATATGGACCAACAGGAGTGTTCATAACGGATTTGGTCAATGTCATGTATGCTGCTATGTAAAACAGCGTAATTCATTAATGAAAGATACATCCTCCATTATCATGTCAATATTTGCACTAGGCTGTTTGCAATGACATCTCGATTTTTTCATCTTTCTCACTAGCACGACTGGTATTGCTACCTAGAGTATCGTATGTCTTGTCTTTCTGGTTTCCGCTATCATCATTTAAAACTTTATCACAGCCTTCCTGTGAATTACTGACCATGGGCTGTTGACTCATTCCTCTTCTGTAATAAAATCAGATATCAATCTTCTTTGCGCTTTTAGTTATAGTGAATAAAAATAGATTTCTCACAAATATGTACATGTATATTTTGAATTCTGAATCTTATCAAATAGAGAATAACTCTGGCTGATGTTAGGTTTGGGGACACATGATGTGATATGGAAATAGGTATGTTTTATCATGTTCATTATATTCTTGGTAATAAAATACAGAACATATCTACTTATTACTGTATTAAGAACAATAATTTGAAATTAAGAAAATATCAACAATAACAAAAATAAAAATAGTATTACAAGTCCTGTTTAATCTACAAGAGATGTGATGTAAATTCGTATTAGAGTTGTAGATTAATATCAGCTCTGTAGGATCCCAATCAGTCCTAGAAACTGATTCGGTTGGATGTCATTGGGTGTCAGGCAAATCGCATTAATATTTTGCATAAAACCTGTATTTATTAAGAAGTGATAAAAAAACACATCATACTCTACTATTTCCATATAAATATATTTCTTTAAAGTATACACCTATCAAATTCTTATAGTTGTACTAGAAATGGAGATAAACGGAAATGTTAGAAAATTATCCCATCATTCATCAACTACCTTTCATAGCAGCGTGAAATCCCAGCTCCTTTTTTTTTCTCAAGAAGTGTACGTCCTTCAGCCTACCGTTTACTTACATAAATTGACTGTACCCCCCTTAAAAAGATAATATATCCAGTCAATAGAAACATGCCCACATTACTTATACAGAACAGAGGTATAAATATATGAGGTGCATCAGACGATGAGGTTGGATTCACTTGTTCGATTTTTCCAGTAATGTTTGTTTCTTCTGTAAACCCAAGGTAAATATATCATTCAAATATATATATACAGTAGAGAAAACTAAATGAAGAGATATATAAAGATTTTGCATTTTTGGACTTACATATCCTTTAAATGTTTAATTTTCTGACAAAAATTCGCTAACTTAAATACAAAAGATTTTGTTATTTTCTATATCTCAAAGACCATCCTGACTGTCTTGACCTTATTGTTATCGGGAATTTATTAAATACTGAAATTTGATATATCAAACATTCAATTTGTCGAAAATTTGTCGAAGATTTACTGTATTCAAACAACTGGAAAGAGTTGAAATTGAAATATTACAACCTGTAGATTTATTAACAAGTTTACGAAGGAACATGTATTTTTTTCAGACTGCATCAATCTGGACATAAAAATGATAATATCCTTTGCAAAAAGTAACACGAATTGACATTGCAACAAATATGGTGAAATATAGATTAAACAGATTAAAGTTGTGACCCAAAAATAAAATGAGATCACACCTTCCAAACAATTCACTCCTTGCCATCCACTTTTACAACCACTTTTACAAGAACCAGTCACGTGATCACAAACTCCCGAATCGTTACAATATGCACTACATTTCTGCTTACAACCAAGACCATACCACCCAACGTCACATTCTGCAAAAAAATGGTCAATTTTTTATATAATTTCTCATGGTCCTTGAAATTAGTCAACATATTGTATTCAGTACTTGAGCAAATTGATTTCATAAATAGATACATATGACCGGTCGACATAGCCTAGTATTAGGGCACTCGCTCATGTTCGGGAGACCCGAGTTCGACTCACGTTCCCGACGCCGCGTCAAATAAAAGATCTGAAACACTGGATAAGATTTTTGCTTCCCAAAACGCCTGGCAATAGAAATAAAAGTCACGGGACCTCCGTATATGACCTTATATTCAATTTTTAATTAAGTTTCCTTTAATATTCTCTACAAATAGGAATGATATATATTTTCTCATGAACTCGCATAGATGAGTATAAATATCTCCTTGCCATAAAAAATATAGTTCAATCATATTTTTAAAGTGATATTTCAATGACATAATTTATGGCTATTCATCACCAATAATTCAAATATAAGAAAGGAATCTATATTGAACTACAACGCCTCATACCTGTGTATTTATTATAAAGCTCGTTAGGGCTTCATGAAATATGCCGGGGTGAATGGCCGTAGTTCATGTTCTAGTGAATTTTCTTAATTTAAACAACATCGTTAAACGCGTTTTATGGTATGGGTTGTCACGATAAAGAAGATAAAGAGTGCCGAGTAAAGGTCTAAATATGAGGCTTTTCTCCTTATCTGATGATGTCTCATGTAAGAGAATATTTTTGCAAGGAACGTTAAACAACAATTAACCAATCATATATGCATGTGCACTTAGTGTAAGCCAGGATTCGTTGTAACCCTCTTTTGTTCAATATAAATATAGTGCATGTTTTAAAGGGTAATTAGTGGAAATTGACACCCCCAGAGAAAAACATAGTGATTGTCACCGGCGTGTCAACTGTTGTCTTCCAAAATACGCTCTATTTTTTTCAGGGGGGGGGGGGACATACCGAATGTTTGATTTATTAAAAAAAAAACAAAACAAAACAAAAAAAAGAAAAGAAAAGTAGGATTTTTTTTTTCTGAAATCTTTCTCGTGAAAGGTTTTTCAAAATATCCACTTCAGTTTTTCTCTGTAGGCCTCCAAAATTATCCACCGACCTTTCAAGTGTTCGTTTAATGTTAAGAAGGTTTTTAATCCAATAATTTCTTTTTTCCGCGTTCGGAAACATTTTTATAATAATCTTACTCAGACTCAAGATTTTATTAACTTCGTGTATTTCGGCTTATTTTCAAACGCATAAGTGACATGTTGAGAAATCACACACTAGCCTAAATTACAGGCATGTAACATTTTCGTTTCGATACCCCTGCCAAGTGTAGTGTTTATGCTGAGGGTAACATTCCAATATGGTCAATGAATCTAAACCATTCGATATTTAAACTACCTTTTGTACACATTTCCCCTTTGTATCCCGCAGCGCATCCATCCTGACAGGCTCCATTTATATGATTGCACACAGCACCCCCTCGACAGTGTCCACACCGTTTGTTACAGTTCGTTCCATTCTTCTCGTTGCAGTCTTTAATAATAACAATCAATGATTATATCCAATTATTACACAAACTTTAATTCAAGAAAAAATTTCAAAAATAAATAAACAAATGTGGAAAATTTACATTTATATAGCTAAAAAGGGGAAAATATTACAAAGGATTTTGTTTTTCTCAAAAATCTGTTAAAAATTAATGCACCAGGCCTTTGAAAAAGAAAAAACAAAAAAGTTGATAATAAATTTCTGAGTTATCTTTCCTGGCATTTGGTCATAAGCATAATTGAGACTATGCTCAATAAATCCAAGTTTATTGATGAACCATGAACGAAACATACTTATATGCTTTGATAATGGAATAAGATTACAAAAGAATATTCAGTCAAAGCCATTTTTGGATGAGAAGGAAACTTTCTTAATAGCGATTGAACCACTGCTCCGTAAACTTTATAATTTTCAAGAAATCTTTTTTATAAATGAAATTTAGGTAAAATAAATATTCCAAAGGGGACAGCCAGTCATACAATCATTGTTAAACGTGAAATTTTATAAAGACCTAGGTGTTTCGTTTACTTTCTTAATTGTATCTCTAAGATGGACACATTTCTCCTAAACATACATTTCTCGTATGCTGTACCTATTTACCTTTGTCACACAGTGGACCTTGCCATCCTGGTTTGCAGCCCCCTTGACATACACCAGATTTTGAGTCACATCTATTGGAGTAGAGGCAATTCGAACTACATTTCCTCTTACAGTTTTTGTCATAGAACCCTATTGGACATACTAAAACGCAGGCAAAAGATTTAGCAGCATGATAGTAACACAATAAAATCGTTGACCATTCATTCATTCTACAAAAAAAATGATCTGAGGGAGTAAATAAAAAATATAAATTATATGTATTTTCTGTCTTTATTCACATACAGTTTACCATTCTACACAAAATAATTCAAGAGATTAATAAATCGTCTTATTTAATACAAGTGAATTATAAGTCAACTTATTTAACGAAAAAAAGGATAAATCTATTTCAAATTTCTTTGTTTTTAACAACACAATGTATGAGCTATACCACAAATAAAAATATATTTACTTTCAGTACACCTGGTACCATGAAAACCTCGTTCACATCCGTTTTGACACTTTCCATTAACATGATGACACTGTTCGAAGTCTACACAGTCTCCACAAAACTCCTCACAGTTCTGTCCAAAACGTCTTTCACTGCATTCTTAAAGGAAATTTCAATAAGAAATAGATTGATTATCTGTCCTCAGTTGTATTGCACTGGTATTTCATTTTTCACAGAAACTGGTAATTGTGTATCATCAGATTACACATTTTTTCTTTAAATTTTGTTAAAAATTAGGCAAATGGACTTACTTTTATCTTATAGATATACAAATATATTAGAGGACAAACGTCCCAACAACATTTATAAATACATATTCAATTTTTTAAGTTAATGGTCTCGATTTCAAAACTCAATTTTTGATCAGATTTTAAGCTGCGATTCCTTTTCCGATTTTAAATATTTTTCTCTAAATGTTCAGCGAGTTTTAGTTAAATGTATATTTCTTTCTTTTAAACTGAAGACTGCAAACGCATATTTTTGTTTTATTTAGACAATAATTGTATAACAAGGTCTTCATATATTACCGTGCTCACAATATTGACCAACATATCCTGGTTTACATCCTAAACACACCCCAGTCTCGATGTTACAGTACTCCTGGCAGTTTGTATGACATCTGAGATCACAATTAGGTCCAAACAATCCTGAAGTAGGACATCCTAAAAAGCAAACATCTTTCATTCATTTCAGAGAGATCAAATACCTATATCCAACAGAACAAGAAAACATTGATGTAACCATCAATTGTCGCCCGGAAAATAAATAAAGTAAACAATGGAAATGAGTCTTGATCATCAAACCGCTTTGATATGTGTGAAAAAGGCATGCGTCTAAATGATGGAGACGATAGTCGAGAATATTTTGAAAACTTATAGTCGGATGAAAATCGAACAAAAACGATACCCTTTTAAACTTTATCAATTCCTCAAGTAAATGTTGGCTGCAAAATATAATTTGAAACCAGGCACATGCATCACCTATTTTCAAAAATGTCTTTCACCTTAAGAATATAAAACACGAGCTGTGTAAAGTACGTTTTTACGTTTTTATGCGATAAGTGAAATTCGATGTTCTAAAAAAAAGGACCTGTCGTTTTTTCCGATAGTAAATGATAAGCAACTTTATATATTAAATATGAAAAACATATATATTTTTACAGATTCACTTTATGGAAGTAAATATATTGTGTATCTCGTAATTTATAAAGGGAAAGAACATTCTGATTAACAATCTTTGTAATGTTTAGAAAACCTTTTTTTAATTAATCTATGTAATTATGCTCAGAAATTTTATTTTTTCTCCTAATTTAGGGAGACTGGAAGGTATGTAAATTCTCAAAACATTTTCTCACAGATTTATCGCAATGATCTTTTCGTTATTTGTGTGATCTCGTGTGAGAGTTCAAGTATTCTACTCTCCCGTTTATTATATTCAATGATAGCACATACATACACCAATTAGGTCACAGTGGAGTATATACTTGTATTCCCTTTTCCTTCTGTATTGTATTTTTGGTTTTATTTATCTAGTTTGTTATGTTAACCAAAATGTAATTATATCTTTTTTCTATCTATTTACTTATTCATTCTTTTTAATTATTTATTATATGAGGTGCTATTTATTTAATTTATTTTTTTTTTCCATTTCCACCTCTGTTTGAAGTCGATCTTTAAATTTCTACTTCAAACGTAAATTATAAGGCGATCGGTGTTAAATTTGGTTCGTACGTACCGTAAACCTCTACTTCGCACAACTCAGTAAATGCATGGCGAGAGTAGTCAGCAGGATACTTCACTCCCTCTAGTCTCTCATTGTAGTAGATGACGTATTGTCCATGTACAGGACAGCTTATGTTTAAGACAGGTGGTATGGTGGCTCTGGTGTATCTTGTGTCATGAAAACAAAGGTAACCGTCGTTTCTATATGTGGTATTGGATACATATAAATAAAATCCAAGAAACCGTCCTGTATAATGATTACTGGGATCTGAAATAAGAATATTTTACGCTGTATGACTAAGTGGGATATTAAACTATAAGAATGAGAAGTCTTCAGTCCAATATAAATCATTTATGATGTCTTCATCTCATACTTTGATGGTCAAAGTAGAAAAACTGAATCAATTTCCACTTAAGATTCTTTAATACAATTCATAACCACAAAAATTTATACGTTACCTCCTTTCTTAATGTATACGTAAATAGAAGTGTAAATCAATATTACTGAAAAAAAAAAAAAAAAAAAAAAAAAACGCGTAAAAAGTAATGTTCAAATAACATAATCTCAGTGTTAAATTTTAAATACTGTAGTAATTGTTACTTAATAAATATATATAAATTGGTCTTAAGGTCACCTGAGTATATTATATTGTTAAGGATCCATAAAATTGCAAATGTAAATAGTTATAAAAAGATTATATGCAAATTAAACTGATAAAGGAAGATAAGTGTTTCAAATCAGAAGAAAACGAGCAAAGAAGTATCTACAAAATATAAATCTGGTATTCTAAAATTCTGAATGCAGATCTACTAGTATTTATGCCAGCATTAACTACACCCAAAACTGTCACTATCAATAGTACGTCAACAAAAAATCAAGCATAGATTCTGCCTATTGGCCTTTCCTGATATATAAGTAACATTAATATTTCTTTTGCTTATTCATTTATTATTTTTAATCGGACAATTAAAACAGACCGTGTATAGTTTATTTTTTGATGCAAGGAATATGTGACATATCAATTATATAATTTACTGTGATTGATTATCATAAGTGAATAATAAAAGGGGAATAACTTCTCTTAAAGAAGAATAAAAATCCTATATGACAAAAAGAACCTTGCCCTAGCACCAAAACCCCTGTTCCAATGGTCTTGAATTTCACAAATCTGATAAAACGCCCTTGCTAATTCTAACTATACACTTCATTAGCCAGCGTGATGCCCAAAAGCAAGGTAGATTTTCAAGGAATAAATATGTTTTCACTATTAGATCAATAAAGTTCCATTTAAATATATAAACCCTGACCCATGGGTCATGAATTTCCTACTCTTGGAGGAAACACCCTTAATTATCACAACTATGCACTTTATTTGTTTAATAAATACCAAAGAGCAGACGACAAGATTTTCCAAGAAAAATGCATTTTTCAATATATGATCAGTAGAGCCCCGCCCTAACTTCAGAACCCCTGCCCATGGGGCAATTAATTTCACAATCTAAGTAGAGGCAACCTTGTTCATCATACATTTGTCTTCTGAATACCCTGGACCAGAGAAGTTTCTATTTAAAAAAAAAAATGCATTTTCGCTTTAATCTATAGAACCCAACAATTACACAATAACCCATTACAAAGGGGCCATGAATTTCAAAATCTTGGAAGAGGCACAATTGCTCATCATAACAGTGCACTTAGTTTGTCCACTACGTATACGGAAGTGAGGAAAGGAGGAGAATTTTTATAGATTTATGCGTTTCATCTTTATGAAGCAGAGAACCCTACCTTAACATCAAAAAACCCCTGACTTTTGGTCCATGAAATTCACAATTATGGTAAACGTTTCACTGAATATTTTTAACATGAGAACAGTTTGATTCCTTTTTAAGAAAAAAGAGAATTTTTAAAGACTGTATTAATTTTAATGGTTTTAGCTTCAACCCTCGAGCCCCAGGAAGGTGGGACCATGAAATTAACTAAATTTAAAAATTTACCTATTAGACACTTTGCCAAAATTGGTTGAAATTGGCGCAGTGGTTCCAGAGAAGAAGCTGAAAATGTTTAGAAGTTACAATACACTTCGACGAACAAAAACTGACAGCAATACGTCACCAAAGTGACTCAGGTGACCTAAAAGTGCATTGGGTTCAGAAAGATACAATACGTGTGTTCAAAATTAAGAGCAGTCACTGGGTATGGGGTGTTGGCGAAATCATGGATAAGCGCTATACATGTTCGTGCCGTATATTCTATTTATAAATGATTTTTTTAGCAGTATTCATGAATGAGCGCATCGTTGTCTGCGTAAATATATATCTATACTACTATACATGTATTAAGATAATAGACTCGAATTTTTGGCCTTTAATACCGATAAATCGGAAGAGTACTGTCTTTTGTTATATATATTTTAAACATAATTGGTACTTGAAAATTACCAATTTGTTTTTATTTTTTCTCAATTAGCCTTTGCTAATTAATAATCAACGAAAATTCCACAAAAAAATCCGGAAATCATCTGGATATTTTGGATTTTACAATCTTGCGCGTGCGCATTACATTCACGGTAAATCACGGTGTTCAAATCAGAGAAGACAAAAGAAGTACTAAGTAGATAATTATATATTTGTTATTTTATAATTTCTCTAATAAGAAATAAGAAAATAAGAAATCATACATATATATAAGAAATCATAAATATATATGAACAGAATATATAGCAAATTTCCAATGAAAATTTACACGTATTTGTATTATCTTTCTGAGTTTATCCTAGATAGAATGTTCTATCGTTAAAATGGTCAATGTCCTACGGACCCGGTTTAACGATAGAATTCGTTCCGTGTATTCGCAATGTTGCAAAATAAACACGGGCGATAACTCGTACTCTATACATTTTCTATGAACAATCCAGAGAGTTCCGAATGTCAACATGGCGTTAAATTTGAAGCGAGGATAAAACGTTGAGAAAATCAGTTGAATTTTCGTATTTATTTGGATTATTTTTTAGGTTAAAAGACATATACCATCTCAAGAAGGTTTGTTATGATTAATTTGGTAGTTATTTTCAGTGCAACTCCTATTGTGTTCTTCAAAATCATTTCGGAGTGGATCCACTCCGATTTGCTACATTGCAAGTATATGGGACGTATTCTAACTGTGGTGAAGGCTTGTCCCGAGACACAGTTAGATTATTCTAACTAAGTTTATCCATACAAATGTGATATTGTGGCCACGTGGGTAATCATTCGCCATCTCGGAGACACATTTATTATATGTTATTTATGTCTCTGGCCATCTCAACGGGGGCAAAAAGCTCATGATCGTAGGAGCAATATTAATGTAACTACCCGATTTTATTTTATCCTTCCTTTCTTTTATGCTTTTTGAGGGGGGGGGGGGTTACAACTCCAGCTAGAATCACATATCTTAGTGAAGTAAGCATTCTTTTTCCGCCAAAAATTACAATAACATTATTTTCATTTCTTAACTTTGAAACAAATCGAAGTAATTAAATAACGTCAATATAACCCATATTTTCAATTTGAAATGTGTCTAAATGATTGCAACTTGAATTTGTTCGCCATGTTTACTATTACCTTCACTGCTGAAATTTATAACTCGGTAAATATGAAACATAAACTAAGGGCAAAGAAATATTTGATTCCATGCAAAAAATTCACATTATATTTCTTAGAAGTGCAGTGAAATCAATAGCATTATTGTAGGTTTATAGCTTTGTTATGTAAATACATGTAATGACCTGTGACCCTGGTCTGTCAACAATACGGTGAATACCCCCTGCAATGCTTGCGCCGTGCATTTCCCACGTAAACCATCAAAGAAAGCATTTTAAATTTATTGTTTATATCTAAATTCACCTCTAAAAATTTCTTTAACTTTCAAAAAAAGTGGGTGAAATATGGAAATTATTGTTATTGATCTTCAGTACGTTATATAGAAGGGACAGCCTGTTCTTCTAAATATGTAAAGGTTGTCATGGTAACTACGCATTATAGGTATCAGCAGTGCTGAACTCTTTGTTGTTGTCATATTTTCAATGAATATCCATAATTTCTTTTATTAAATTTGTTTGGAAAGGTGAAATTTATGTAACCTCCGGCGTGATTCTAACTCATGACTTGATTTATAGCTAACTGATGGTCAAAGCCATTCTGCGCTACGCCGTTACGCAACAATTTTGCAAAAAAAAAAAAAAAAAAAAAACGAAAAAAAAAAAAACGAAAAAAGCAAAACAAAACAAAACATTGTTTTGAAGTTGTTCAATGCTATTTACTAGGGATGGCAATTTGTAACCGGTTAACCGATTACTCGGTCGGAACGATGGCAATCGGTTAGAAAATCTGTAATCGGTTAGTCGGAAAAAAATAACTTGTATATTTTAACGCAAATTTCTTATAATTCATTTTCGGAAAAAGAGAAATCTCTGCATTAACGTTGATAATTCAAGGTTCTCACATTTCCAACTGACTTGGATGTAATTATGGTTCTCTTATATTTTTTCTTGTCTATTGAAACTGAAATAAGATATATACGCATGTAGTTTTCTTATCAAGAATCAAGACAAATAGAATGATTCAACTTCTAGTGACTTTGTTAGTCTTCTTCTTGTTGTGTATATGAATAGAGATACTTAGGGGCGGGGGGGGGGGGGGGCGTATATCAAGAAAATGCATAATTTGATACGGTTAACCGGTTAATCGGTCGGAACATCTTGCGGTTAACCGATTAGCAGTTCTGTATTCGATTGCCATCCCTACTATTTACTATTTATATTTTACATATAGAACACAGTTGCATATTTAAATACGTACAAAAACATTGCTGAAGTGTACTGTATTCGAAAACTTAGAAGCCGTTCCAAATTAAGGACTAATGGGTGTATTAAAGTTGACTGATATAGTTTGTTTCTTCTCTCACCAAGCATGCTAACCCTGTGTTTCCTTTATTACAAATATGGCGAAAAGCTTTTTTCACATACCCCACTTTTCATTTTCCGTCCTGTACTGAATTGTTATATGATGTATACTGAGAATAGATGTCAGGTTAACCCACCAGGTGGCAGTCCTAAGATCGTTACCGGATATAACGCATTGCCCTCCAACAGATGTGAGGTTAGTCTTCAGTCCATCTACAGCATTATTTGCATCGGTTCTGCTGTCCCCTTGATGATATAAGTATTGCTTACTTTGCCATGACGGTTTATGCAAGGCAACGTTTTCTAAAATCCAAAAATGAAAATGTAAGAATAAATCAAGCAAATGTAACATTGTTTTAGAATTCAAAAAAATCAAAACTGATTTTTGATAATCTGATTATTATGGTTAGTTTTAAATTCTCAGAATTTTAAAATTTTAACTCAAATTTGTAGAATGCAACATAAAAGAAATAAAATGCAGAGATTTGTTACATTTTCCAATTTACCATATGCATTTGAAAGGAGACCCAACGCCTGGAGTGTCAGAATCACTGCGATGAGTCGCATCATAGTTTGAAGATTTGTCAAATAATGAAGTTGTAGAGATTTATAGCGGCGGTATAATCTGAGATAACATCTAATGCTTAATGACGCAGTTAAAAAGGACCAATTCATTCAATGATTTATTCCACTCATTCATAAGTACATGTTATACATTTCTTTTTGTTTAATTAAATTCTTATTTATTGGAGTAGTACCAGTTAGTTCCTAGTTTTTATGTTGGTAATTGTTCTATGGTCGTTATAATGACCCTGTTTGCAAATACAACCTGTCATTGGGTCATACGTTGACGATCATTTTCATACTAACTACTAGTGCTTTGTTTTTCTACTAAAGGACAAGATCGGATAAAGCTAGAAATGTGCATTTCTTCAAAATATAACACTGTTTTCGCCCTTGTTACAAAAGAAAATTGATTCCTTAGAGAGATGTCACAGGAAGGTTAAAAAATTTGCAGCACTGTTAAGGCGTACTATGAAGAAAAAACGGAATATAGACGTGCACAAAAAGATACTTTTTTTTAAAATATGAATTTATTTTTGTAAAGCGACTATATATAATATTAATAATAATAATAATAATAATAATAATAATAATAATAATAAAATTTTATATAGCGCCTTATCTTATGTGAACTCTAAAGCGCTTTACATATATATAACAATCTACATAATAAAAGAAAGACTAAAACAATCTTATATCACCTATAAAATAGTAAGACATTCTGAAAATACAATCACGTTGATATTAAAACAAGCCATACGTATATACACTTTCCACTTCAAGTAAAGACTTTTTTTAAAAAGATGAGTCTTAAGTTCCCTTTTAAAAACTTCCAATTTGTGAACTTGTCGAAGTTCTACTGGCAGCTGATTCCAAAGTGTTGGAGCAACTCTGTCGAATCTACGATCATCGTATGTTTTTGATCGGACTCGAGGCAGAACCAACTTGTTTGACGAAACCGAGCGAAGTGACCTGGCGGGTTTGTATTCGCAAACTAGTTCAGAAAGATAAGTCGGTGCCAAACCATGAAGTGCTTTGAAAACATAGACACATAGTTTGTATTGCACTCTATATTTGACAGGAAGCCAATGTAGCTCAACAAGTATGGGCTGAATATGTTCACGGTTACCTGTCTTAGCAATAAATCTAACAGCCGTGTTCTGAACCCTCTGCAATTTGCATATATATGTACTATAGTATCACGTTACGTAAATATCATATTGAAAGAACACAATATACCCTACTTTGTATTGAATTTAGTTTGATTACCTGATTTGAAAGTCATTTGATCAATGCATATTATGTGTACTGCACGGAGGTAATAAACAAATTTCAATATCGCAAGGGCATACCATAATTCATATTAAAATTGCAGTGATAAATAGTTTCTACAAATTAGTTTCTGGAAAGTGCTGCTGCTTTAAATACAAGTCGCATTTTATTACTTAACATTTTAAGTAGTTCGGCTGAAGTTGAAATATATGTGACATTTACCATGTATTTTTGTATAAGAAAACAGCAGCACATTTTTAAAGTTAAGTATTTATGTATATTCAAAAAATGATAAAGATTTATTAAGTGTATACCCTTGTTATGCGGAAATACAATTTAATAAGGCACTCCGATGTTAAACTTGTAAACCCTGTACACAAAACACGGTAGAATTAATAAAATACATTCTCTCCATAATAAATAATGACACTAAACAAAGCTTTCGCATTGGTACTAATTATTTATCTAACATCTGTAAATAAAATTCTGTTTAATAATAAAATGCATATTTCAATGTGAAAGATTCACTTGATCCGCCTCTTCACTGCACATAAATGCACCATGATGACGTCATAAAAAATATTTCCTATTGAATATTTATATTATCATATAAATTAGGTCCCGCCCACTTTTATGTAGCCTCGACAGTACTCCTTATTCACGGATTGCGTCATCTAATCTCAAAACGAGGCTATGAACGCAAACAAGATGGCGAGTTCGAGTAAGGCATATGCGAACTGTACGGGTACAGCTTATCATTGTTGTGTCCCATTGTGCAATAATGATTCCCGGTATGACAGCAACAGAGAATTATCCTTCCATAAGTTTCCTACCGATAAAATTAAAAGGAAAGAGTGGATAATTAAAATTCGAAGGGATGTAGGTCAAACCTTCAGAGTAAGTATGCCACGAAGTTGACAAGTGTTGACTTTCGTAAATAATCAATGCTTGAAAAAACAAAAGATAGATCAACTTTTAAACCATTCAATCAAAGTTCGAGGATTGTTGTAAGCATATTTCATAAGTTCATTTGCAGATAATTACGATATTTTATATGCATTTATGTATTTGTAATGAGCAAATTCGGAACACAAATCAGTTAAATTATCGTATGATTTTTTTTCTTAGATATCCGATGCTACCAGGGTATGTTCAGCACATTTTCTACAAACCGAAGTACGTCGGTCCTTAAATTGTAAACGACTTCTAAAGCCAGGGAGTGTACCAAGTATATTTGCTTGGAATTCCCCAGTAAAAAGAATCAGGCCACTAAGGAGATCATTGAAAAACATGTAAGTTGATATGGTTCTAAAGAATAAGTCGAAAATGTTAGAAGTTTATAGATGAACTGTTGTGATAATATTACAAGAAGGTATTGTTAAAATGTACTGATATACTTTAGAAATTTAAAAATACCTAAAGAAAGTGATACATTGATTACGATAAAATTTGTTGACATGTATCGTCATCTTCATTCGAGCGATCAAGTGTGGGGGTGCTGAATGGGCAGAGAATAGTGCCCCACCCACATTTTTGAAATATTTATGGCACAAAGAAAGAGCAGGCAGAAGATGATTGAATTGAATCTAGTATCCCAGTCTCTAATGTTTTTATTGATTTATGTTTTAGTATGTTAGCACCTCCCCAATTTTTAGGTTTTCACCCCTCCCCATATATGCTCCCCTCTAATATGTTTGTGCTGCTTCCTTAGGTTTGTAACTCAACATTGATATTGTTTTCATTTAGGTCACCAGCAAAGTCTGCAGAGGACAGCATTGAGGAAGCACCTGAATTATTGTCCATTTCTGTGGATCAGACTCCACCTGTGTCAAATGACCATGACTACATAATCCATACTTCAGTCAACAACCAACTGCAGGCAGCCCAAGAAGAAATCGTGAATTTACAAAGAAAACTTGTGGCGGTGGAAAGGAGACTTTTTTCTTTGGAACGATTCACTACAGATCCCCAATTGATAAACTTTTATACTGGTTTTAAAGATTATGAAACCTTAAAATGTTTGTATAATGCACTTCAGCCAACAGCAGCAACAATGATTAGATGGACACAAATGCAAAGACATTCTTCAAATACAGAGAACATGAAGTTGAATGCTATTCGTAATGAAGCATTGCCTCTCATAGATCAGTTCTTTATGTTCCTTTGTAGAGTGCGACAGGGATTTCCAGAACAGGATTTGGCTGTTAGATTTAACATATCTCAACCTTCAGTTAGTAGAATTTTAATAACTTGGTCTAATTATTTATATACGATGCTGGGTAGTTTACCCATTTGGCCACCTCGTTGTGTGATTGACAGTAACATGCCTAAATGTTTCAAGGAGTCTTATCCCCATGTTAGAGTCATCTTGGATTGTACAGAAATTAAAGTTCAAACTCCTAGCTCAAAAGTGTTAAATTCTGAAACTTACTCTAATTACAAGAGTCACACAACATTTAAGAGCTTAATTGGGATAACTCCATGTGGTGCTGTGGCATTTATTAGTTCATTGTATACAGGTAGCATTAGTGATAAAGCTATAACTGCATTGTCAGGAATTTTGGACCTGTTAGAGCCTAACGACCAAGTAATGGCTGACAAAGGGTTTTTGATAGAAGACTTATTAGACAAAAAACAAGCATCTTTGATAATACCTCCTTTTCTCGGTGAAAAGGGTAAATTTTCTGCTAGTGAGGTAGCACAAACACATGAAATAGCACGGCTTCGTATTCATGTAGAACGAGCCATAAGGCGTATAAAAGAGTATCACATATTTGATGGGGTCATCCCTCTAAATTTAGCTGCATCCATTAATCAGATATGGACAGTTTGTGCAATACTGACAAATTTCAGGGGGCCTTTATTCTAGTTCAAAAGTTACATCAATCCAATATATGCAATTTGTTTGATTATGTTGAAATGTAAATACTACTCTGCATTTGATATGCTCTTTCACATTCAGTATTACTGTATTAGACTGGAGACAGTGGTCATCAACAAGTATTGTAGTCAGGGTTACTACTGATTGTGTAGCATTACAGCTTTTCAGTGCAAATTATGTATTTTACTTTGTATACAACCTTTTTCATATGAATTCAAATGAAATAAATGATAAATGTGCATGTATTTTTTAAAATTTATTCTGCCAGGAGTAGATAGGTATGTTAAATTGAAATGATTAAATTTTAATATGAATTGAAAATTATTTGTTACACTTCTGCAAAAAAAAATCAAAGTGGCATCTATTGAAATACTAATATTAATGTAGTCTTAAAAAAGTTTTACAATAAATGGCAGTTTCTCAGGCATTAAACAAAACTGTTACAGTAGTACATGTACATGCATTTACAATGTATGTGTAATTACACACAAAAGCATTGTTAAATTCTTATTGTTATGTTCAATCAATTCTGAACAATATTTATTGTCATTAATGTCAAGTAAAAAAAAGACTACTTCATTTTAAGAATTTCGGACAAGAAATAACTGAAGTAAAATCTGTCCAGAGACAACTTGATTTCTTCCCACTTCTCTGCATTAAAGTTAATCCTCTCCTTATGGTAATCATGTCTACATTTCACAAAAAAGTCGCACCACTGGAGTCCAGTAAGACCCATCTGCCCCATCACTTGGTAATAGTATTGATGAGATTGCTTCAGTTTGTAAGTCCCATCATTGGTAATTTTAAGGTATAGACATTCCTGGAAAGAATCTTTGTCGGGACATTTGAT